CGCGCTGTATAATTCACGCGCGCCCGCGCGCGCGCATCGGCTGCATTAAGCGCATTTTAACGCTAATGGTGGCGCCAGTGCACGGGCAGAGGTGGAGGTGCGGGCGATGGTAGGGGAGGAGGAGGCGGTGGAGGTGACGGAGAGGTAGATGTAGAGGCGATGTCGATGGTAGAAACGATCCCGATAGTATAGGCGGTGTTGCTGGTAGAGACGGACAAGTAGAGAAGGAGAGGTGATGTAGAAGTGGAGGCTGAGGTAACGGGGGAGGCGGAGGCGCGTGCCATCTCTGGCTGCCCCACCCGTCCGCCGCAGTGGCGCCGCGCCCCCGGCCGCCAGGTGCGCGCACAGAGGCAGGGCGCCATTTCTCTCCACTCGGTCCACCTGAGCTCCTGGCTTGGCTTTCGTGGGTGCTGCCGTGTCGCTATGCGCAAAGGCCCTCAACTGTTGATGATAGTGTTTATGTCTATCGAGTCTTTAGTTGTATGGCATACTAATTTTCACTCTAATATTCTTTTAAAATCTTACGGAATAAAATATTGTGTTTATTTGTTAATTTTCTTGTAGAAAAAATTAACACCCTTTCCACAACCATTGTGGACACTATTCTATTCTTAAACTCCGTAAAATGGTATGAATGCCCAGACAGAACAAGAGATAGAAAACGGGAACTAGTGGAGATGATACATAAGAAAAATACGTCGTTACATTGTATTTCTTTAAATGGGTCATTTATCACAATAGTAGGTTTGAAATGAAGTAAGTAAATCATTCCAAGTCGCATTTCACCCTTTCCATCCACTTACATGGAAATAAAAAGTTCGTTCAGTGGCAGTTTACAAACAACTGTTTGGTTTTCGGATTTTTTTTATCAAATGGAGATTAGGGCAGATGGGCTTTAACAGATTAATTTCCTTTTACTACATTTCTTGTCGAGTGTTTGGTGTATAAAATCTACGAAATCACTTAATTTCATCTAAAATGTCGTACATTAGTCTTGTTTTTTAAGTTACAAGTTATGTTCGGTGTAATTTAAGCACATACTTGTAATTGACAGGCTTGTAACATTTCAGTTGTGAAAGTGTTTTCCGCTTTTCTGTCAAACGTTTATTCAAAATTTCATATCAGTTTTTAAGACTATTTGCAAAAGAACTTTCTGTCAGCTTCACAATGAGTAGCCCAGTAGGGTATGAATACAGATATCTAACGATTTTACAGAAGCGTACGAATCCTAGTACATGAGATTGTCATTCTTTGCTTACAATGCGCTTAAGCAATTTAATTTGCTTAAGCAATGTGAAGTGGTTGAGTGCGTGGCCACTAACGAATCAAAAATTTAAAAAAATCCTTATTCTCATGTGTGGATTTAGTTTAATTTTGATATAAACAATATTATTGAATAATGCAATTATTAGAGAAACAAAATTGTTTCTGATGCTTCTAAAAATGAATTGACGTTGTACATTGACAGGTAAGCGGATGCAAGGATGATGTAACACGAAAAGATCGTGAATTACTATGTTTCTAGTGTCGCTCGTTATTTGAACTTTTCGGTCCGAAGGAAACCACGCGGGGAGTTACAAGCGACGTTTTGTTCAGCGCGGTTCCCTTCAAACGCATGCAAGGTATTTCTGTTTGCAGCGCATACAGCGTCTGAATATGCCGAGTTTGTGAAGCCTACTACCTTAAGCCTAACATTGTACAAGCCGTGACTACAAGACGCGCCTTGTCACCTGCAACGCGCACCTATACTTCAATATCCCTCCCCTAGTGACAGCGTAGGAGGTTTTCGCGGCCGGACTCAGTATTTAATTGGCTGTCCGGGTGACGCCGCGTCAATGGCAAAGGTGCCGACGTTTCGGTCGCCATTCTGCCAAAGGGCATATCCTTTTATTTGGGAATATATAACAATAATTACGAAGAATAGCTAATTAATTTTATATACATGAATAAAAATATTATAATTATTTAAATTTGTGACATACTCCAGAAGAGAAATTGAATTCCAATGTGCTTGTTTTTTAATTTTCTGTTATTTTGTATTATTTACATATGTTAACCAAGTTCATATAAATGATAAATAAAAATTAACTTAAAATGAGCGCGTAATTGTGTTATAACTAAGTTTAATACTTTAACGACTTAACGCAACCAAACAGAAACGAAGTCACTCATAACGTCCGACTTCCATTAAGGATTTTAACCATGCACCCTCCGTGAAGAACAGCCGAAACAAATGAATTGTAACTAAATATGGCATATGACTTCTGTTCCAAAAACGGGATTTCTAGTTTTTTATGATTTCCTGTCAAGAAACTGGTATTACGAAGAGAAACGACACATGGCCGATATCTCAAATAGTGAAAATAATATGTGCATGTTGATAGTGAATATTCTGTTGGGTCCTTGTTCTGGTGCGAATCGATGATTATACTGTATTGTTGCACCTTTCTGTGATGCTATTGATGCCCTCTTTCTGATTCATTATAGTTAATTATGACTAAAGTGTTCGATTATACTTTTTGCTATGATCCCCTATCGTATGGCAGTCGGACATTGAAGTGATGTTTTGCAGGTTTAATAGAAGGGCACGTTAATTCAATATAATTTATTGTTGGGAAATTTTACATATCAGTTTTGTAGTCGGCAATTTTTAAATGTAATCATTGCCCACAATAAACTATGTACAGTGAATTTCTATGGACGTCTACTGAACCTGTGAAAACCCAATTCGAAGTCTGCCTGTCAACAACCAAACAAAAATATACAAACAGTATACAACAGTATACAACCGAAGAAAATGATATTACCATTGCATACCATCTGCATTGGTTCGTTGTGATTGCAATGAGTGAGAAGTTGTCAGTGTCGTCGCTACAAGTATATTGTATGTAATGAAGTGTTGCTGTTTATGTTGCAGCTATACGGTGAGCGTGGGCGTGGTGGACAAACTGGCGTTGTACTGCGGCGGCGTCCGCGGCCCCATCGATGGAGATCCGCCCGCCGCCCACTTCCTGCTGGCCGGCCTGCAGCTGCTTACCACCCTCGCAGCCAGGTACGTCCTCGTACGCTCCCGTCGCCCGCTCACGCTCCCGTCGCCCTCATATGCCCCCGTCGCCCTCATATGCCCCCGTCGCCCTCATACGCTCCCGTCGTCTTCATGCACTCTCGTCACTCACTTACGCATCTGTCGCCTTCATACGCTCCGACGCCCACACACGATCCCGTCGCCCGCTCACGCTCCCGTCGCCCGCTCACGCTCCCGTCGCCCGCTCACGCTCCCGTCGCCCTCTCACGCTCCCGTCGCCCTCTCACGCTCCCGTCGGAATGCATGTGTGGTGTGCGAGCGAGTCGGTTGGCGTTGCAGGTGCAGCGAGTGCTGCGGGGTGCGCGGGGGCGGCGGCCACGACGACGCGACGCAGCTGGCGGCCACGCTGCAGGTGACGGAGCTGGTGGGCGCGGTGTCCATGCTGTACGGCATGCTGCTGCAGCAGGGCGCTCCGGCCCGCGGGCCCGGCGCGTCGCCGCCTCCTCCGCTGCCGCCGCACACGGTCGCCGTCACCGCCGCCACCATCCGCCTGCTGGGCCGCGTCGCTGAGCTCGACCTCCACATGCTGCAGGTGGGCTCTTAGGCCTTGTGCGCATTGTACCCCCTGACGCAAGTGCAATGTGCATCCCACGATAAAGCTTTGGTTCCTAAATCACACTTCTAAATGTTATAATGCGGTGAAATAGCGCTAAATAATAACGAAAAATTAGCAGCCAAAAAATTAAATGAAAATAGCTCTCGATCTCCATTGCAAATAATTAAAAGATCGACGAAGAAACTCAAATGTTTAGAGCATCATTACAAAGCAATATTACTCTGCAAATGCACAGCACTACAAAGCAACTTTATACCTGAAGAAGAAAAATGAAATACCTTAAAAGTCCAGAGTTCGCTTAGAATGCATTGGATGTTGTTAATTTCATCTTAATATTTCCCCTAGGATGTTATCATAGTATTCTATAAATGACTATGGCTCGTGTACAGAGTTTGATAATCTCTCCCTCGTCACCATTATTGTGCTCGTCTTCTTATCTTCTTTGAATTCTTGCAGTGGCATTTTTATATTTCTCAAGGACAAATCGCATTATTCCTTTTCCTGTAGTTCTCCTGTCGTCTGTTGAAGTGAAAAACTTAGCATACGAACGGTCATCTGATGCTGTTAAATGTTTGTGTGCACACTGCATTCCAATGCACTTATGTTTGTTTTACAAGACATTACGAACAAACGACATGTAGTAGAAGAGAACGTATTAAAATACTTGGCAAAGAGTTCGGTTTTAACTGACACTTTAAATACATTTCCTTTTTTTGTTCTTTTGTTTGTTTTTTTGTTTCTATTAAACTTCTATTACATCTGTGAGTTTAGGTTCATATTTGGCTGAAGTGGATGGCAGCAACCCATTTCATTCATTTCTTCTGAATTTCCACGTCCTAATTACATGATGTTCCTGTTGTACCCAGAGAGTTATCTATACCTTGATTCGGACAATTTCCATTGGACGTCTTATTAATGAACTAACAGAAACCATTTTTATGTCTGTGTTGAATGGCTCAGATTGACCAAATAATTAACTCATTGAAACTCATTGAAACTGTTCTGCCGACACGGAAAGCTGATCTGGTTCGCCGGGAAATATTGGTCGTGGTGAAATCATAGGTGGGCTCTAGTGAGTGTTTGAAGTATTCGGCCGTACACGGCCGTGTTCGCCCGGAAATGAATTCGGACGAACACCGATCCATTATGATCGAACCTAGTCACATTACCAGACCTCCGATACTCCTTGTTGTTGAAAACGGTGAATGCCAGCCCCTATGAATTTCAGCGCCCATCGCGTGGCACCATTTGCCCATGGCGTAACTATTAAGATGACTCGCTTTGAGACTCAAGTTAGTTTATTTAACCTCCGCTGCAGAAGCCTGATCGGCTGCAACATATTGTATTGTTTCCCAATTAATAAGTAAATCCCCGCCTCTCCAGGGCAACTGGAGGGGGGAAAAACCTTTTATTGCGCCTGAGAGAGGTAGCTTGCGCTCTCAGCAATTACTAAGCGGAACTTAAATGGCTTTTATTGGGTGGGGCTTAACTTTAATGGGCTTAACTAGTTGCCCGTTTCTCCGATAACTGAACTTGGAATTGTGACATTCCAGACAAGCTCCCAGCAAAAACACTCCTTTATCTAAGGATATGAACTCAAGAAATACTGCCTTCAGTTCCGGAGCTACAACATGTAATTCTTTTCAGTTTTCGTAACGTTTGCCTTTTTATATTCAGCGAGTCCACATTTTAAAGGAAAGTCTTCGCCATTTGGTTCTGTCCTTTTTTAGACGAGAGGAATCGATTGCCACTATTTTTGCCCGGGTTCCTCTAGTACAAAATGAAAAATTTCTAGAAATAGCATATTTTTGGAGGGTCTAAGGCACCTAAGGTTTTGAATTACTGTTCAGACATTTGGTTAATTAATCTTACTTCTTGATTTATCAGATTGAATTAAATCTTGTTCTGTAAGCTTAAGACGTTCTCAAAGGTATTTCTATCGGACGTTTTCCTTGTGGCTTTTAATGGTGTGGATCGACAAGCTATATAATGTTTAAAATGTCCATTTATTATGATTATGTCGATGACATAAAAAAATAAGTTTTAAATACCTTCCGGATGCGGCTCGTTAAGTTAGTATAAGCTATTTTATTTCCGGTTTTGAGTATTTCGTCTTTATTTTTTTTTCCTTTTTTGTGACCCTTCCCACGTTTCTTCGTCGATAGCTATAGTTTTATTTTAAATTCCCGTTATAGTTAATGAATTTTTAGCACTTTGTCAAAGTGTTGACGCAGTCTTAATGGAATGGTTAGATAAAAGTAATGTATTTCCATATCTTTCTACAAATGCCCCGTAATCTTAAGAAATTTGGTTGCTTCTGCGGTAGTTACAAGATAGTTCCCTTTTATCGCAGTCTTCGAAAGCATTACGTGTTTCATATATACGTATGCAAATGACGCGAGTGACGTTGTTAGATAAGGAAATGTGTTCTTTGCCCTAGGGAGCAATGGGTATAGAATGAAACTGACTGTAGTAGTAATGAAATACAATTAAATGTTAATGTCTACTTACGTTTGTACGTCATGGTATACAATAATTTAGTAAAATTATAATAATCGCTTGTACTGTGATTAATGCAAGTGATGGATTTCTATTTCTATTACGTTGAAATTTTCCCGTACACAATTCAAATGTCGCACTCAGAAATTGCGTTGAGCTATTGAGGCTATTACAAATAGCTGCTTTTGGCAAATTATAGTTGTGTACTTACATTTGATAACTTACTCTCCAATTCAGCTGCCCCTTTTGTGCATTAGATCTCTGTGTAGTTATACTTGTTGAAGTTGTGGTTTTCCATTGTTAGTTTAATGATTCCGGACGCTAAGATATGAACTGCTAAGACAATTAGTACTGTAAGTGGAGTTTATGTTCTTTCCTCGGGGGTTGATGGGTCGGGGTTGATCGTCATCCGCTGGGTGGTGAGATCCGGCGCCGACCTACCGCCGAGTATCGAAGTTTTCCTCGACCAGGTACCTCCCACCAGCGAGAAACGCTGCAGCCGGGACCAGCTGAAAGCTTCCGGCCGGTCTCCCGGTACGTGTAGAGAGAGTTAGTTTGTGGCTTAGCAAAGGGTGAGCATAAGGCAAGGAAGAGGAAGGAAAGATCGCGCGCTGTCTTTGGCCCGTTTGTTAGGGTACTGCTCCGACATGTGAACCGCCTGCTGTTGATCGGAGGAACCACTGAAAACCACCGATCAGAGCAGCCGGCTTTCTCCTTCAGACAGCGCAAGAACTCGACTTGGCTCTCTAGCTAGTGTCGAAAATCCTGCTACCGTCGGGGCTCGAACCTAGGGCCTCCCGGTCAGAAGCACTGCAGTGACATCAATTGATATCCTGAGCACTCTCCCGGTCCTCATTGTTCGCATACACTCTAATTGCTGGAGGTATAAAACATTTGAACCTTGTGTGATGGAATGCTTTTCCATTTCTGCAGTTGAGATAGCACTATTGACTGATAAAGCACGATTTTTTTAAAATGCTATTACGTGTGTAGGAAATTGGGTTTTTGATAGTAATTCTCAACAAAACGTTAAGAGGACTTATATAATGCCTTAGTGATTCTTTACATTCGAACAAAAACTTAAAGAACAAATTTGATGCCATTAAAACATTTTTGTAGGGGCTTGATGTAAAGTATCCCCGCAAAAATTAAAAGATCCGTTTCAATTTCTTAAGGCTCCCACGTCAGCCCAAACGTCCAGGGAGAATTTATTTTGAGAAAAATCCATTTTACGATTTAGAGTCGTCTTTAAGGGCAGTTAGAAGTTTTGAAGAAAAAAAAAACCTTTTTGGTATAAAGAACTCACAAAAATTACATGCTTGTATCTGTCGAAATCTCGACTTTGATTTTGCAGAATTACGTAACTATTTGTAGATTACCTATACGAGCAAGTAAAATAGGATTGTTATGTTTCTTTGTGTAATAAATAGTGATACCAACGAAGAGCGCCGTAATTATTTTACAGTGCTAATTCATTGCCCTCTTCGAGTTATCGATCTTATTAATCTCTTGTAGCATTTAGACCTGTAAAACCAAGACTAGCGATGTTCTCAGTTGTAATGAAGTAGTTAATTTTCTTTAGAATTCCAGTATCGCCACAATGAATTATTTTTTTATGATGACCGGCTTTCGAAGGTGTAACCCGTCATCTGCAGGTATGGGCTATTAACAATAAAATTCTGTATTATCTCATTTTAGAAATAGAAATGTGGATGACTAAGGTTTGTCTTATAAATGTCAGCACCACCTCAACAAAGTTCTGCTTGCCAGTTTTCTACTTGCCGCTGAGAAATCTTGATTGCAGTTTGACTTCTTTACTTTTCTTTGTCGTATTTAGCTAATGAATTTCAGATTTTGTTGTGGCAGTTCTTAACTATTTATTACTTGGTATTTACATGAACATTGACGAACATGTATAGAATTGATTTGTCAAAGTCATTTGGCTGCATTGATAAAGTATGTAAATAGGGGTCTCGTTATATCGTGTCCAATATCTTCAAGTAACGATGCTATTTTACAATAACCCCTGAAAATATTTTGTTGGTCCAAATTTTGTAACAAATTGCCCCTATTTCCCTTTCCTCCTTCGTTCGTTCACTCACATCCGCCTGCTGCGCATAACCTTGACCTTCAGCGCCTGCTAACCCAATGGCCAAGCGCTGGCAATTGCTTGCTTGTCTTCTCCGCCTCATCTCCCCTGCGCCGCCTCCATATACACCCCCGTCCCCGTGACGTCGCCTATGCCGACCCCTCTCTCCGCCACATTCCCCGACTCTCTTGCCGTCCCCGCTTCCGCCTCTCGCATCGCGCAACTCTTCCAATGCCCTCGCCCCTAGCGGAACGACTCCGCTGGCGAGCAGATCGTAATCCCCGACGGCGAGGGGTGGGACGGGGCGGGGCGCGTGTTTGCTCTGCGCGGTCATCGCTGCGGCGCTGCGCTGCGCGGTCTGCTGCTGTCGCTGGGCTGCGGAGGCACA